TATATTCTCTAACAGAGCCAGAGCGCGAGGCTTTGCAGGACTTCTTGCGCAAGAACCTGGAGCGTGGGTTCATTAGGGCCGTCCACCTCGCCTACCGCGGCACCAGTGCTTTTCGTTAAGAAGAAATGTGGGAACACCGCCCTTGCCATGATTACCGAGCCTTGAACAAAATTACCGTCCCAGACCGATACCCCTTGCCCCTTATCTCGGAGCTGCTGGAGCGGGTGCAAGGGGCGCAGGTGTTCACCAAGCTGGACCTCCGGGGGGCCTACAACTTGATTCGGATCCGAGCCGGGGATGAGTGGAAGACAGCGTTTGGGACCCGGTACGGGCAGTTCGAATATTTGGTTATGCCTTTCGGGTTGTGCAACGCGCCTGCTGTGTTCCAACGCTACATCAACCACGTGTTTCAGGACTTGTTAGACAAGTACGTGGTGGTGTATTTGGATGACATACTGATTTACTCCCGTGACCCGGCTCGCCATGAGGGACATGTCCGGACCGTGCTGCAGCGCTTGCGTGAGCACCGTTTGTACGCAAAGCTCAGCAAGTGCGAGTTCCATCAGCGGACTGTGGACTTCCTTGGTCACCGGCTCTCTCCGGATGGGGTGCAAATGGACCCGGGAAGGTGACAGCGGTTCAAGAATGGGCGGCACCCCGGAACCGCAAGGACCTACAACGCTTCCTGGGGTTCGCCAATTACTACCGGACCTTCATCGCTGATTATGCTCATCGCACCACCCCGTTGACCCGGCTACTGCGCCCAAAGACGCCGTTTTCCTGGGACAAGGAGGCAGAGGAGGCGTTTCAGGGGTTGAAGGCCTGTTTCCAGAGGGCACCAATCTTACAACATCCTGACCCCTCTCGACCCTTTGTGGTGGAGACCGACGCCTCCAGTACGGCTCTCGGTGCCGTCTTGTCTCAACAGATTGGGCCCGAAGCGCCACTCTTACCCTGTGCCTTCTATTCCCGCCAGCTCCTACCAGCGGAGCGTAACTATACTGTGTGGGAGCGGGAACTACTGGCCATCAAGGTAGCCTTTGAGGTCTGGCGCCACCATCTTGAGGGGGCACGACATCCGGTGGAGGTAAGAACCGACCACCGGAACCTGGAGTACCTCCAGACCACCCGCAAGCTGAACCAAAGACAGATCCGGTGGGCGTTGTTCTTTTCCCGGTTCCAGTTTCGGATCCGCTACATCCCTAGCTCTCAGAATCTGAAGGCGGATGCCCTGTCCCGGAAACCTGAAGACAACGCAGACACGGTACAGCAAGCAGAACCCGCCACGATCCTACCTCCGGCCGCATTCCTGGCCACCCAGGAGGCGCAGCCACTGCAGGTTCGGGTGCGGGAACAGCAGCGGGTCGACGCTTGGGCCCAGGAACGACTCCGGGAGCTGGCTGAAGGGTCCAGCCCACAGTATCCGGGGCTGGTCCTGCATCAGGGCCTCCTGCTGCACCACGGTCGTCTGTACATCCCGCCAGGGCCACTGCGGCTGGAGGTTCTCCGGATGGCCCATGATGCCCCGGCAGCGGGGCACTTTGGACGGTATCGGACCACCCATCTGGTCAGTCGTGAGTTTTGGTGGCCCCGCCTGAAGGCTGACGTGGCTCGCTACGTTGCTGGTTGTGATGTCTGCCGACGCGCCAAGGGGCCTACCGGGCGACCCCCGGCCTACTTCAGCCATTGCCAGTTCCACCGCGCCCTTGGCACACAGTTTCGTTGGACTTTGTAGTGGACTTACCCTCGTCTCGTGGCTGTACCTGCCTTCTGGTTTTCTCCGACCATTTCACCAAGATGGTGCACTGCGCTCCCTGTCCATCTGTACCCACAGCCAAGGAAACTGCTCAGCTGTACCTTCAGCATGTCTTCCGCCTGCATGGACTACCTGAGCGCGTGGTGTCCGACCGGGGCGTTCAGTTCACATCCCGGTTCTGGCGAGCATTACACCAGACCCTCGGGACAGAGGTCTGCCTCTCGTCAGCCTACCACCCACAGACCGATGGCCAGACGGAACGGGCGAACGCGGTGCTGGAGCAGTACCTCCGGTGTTACTGCAGCTACCAGCAGGATGACTGGGTCGACCACCTGGCATTGGCGGAGTTCGCCTATAACAACGCGGTGAATGCGTCCACCCAGCAGACCCCGTTCCAGGCCAGTTATGGCTATCATCCACGGCTGTTTCCAGAGGTGCTGCCGGCATCCGCGGTCCCGGCGGTGACGGAGTGGCTTCAAGAGCTCCAGTCCCAGCAACAGCTTTTGGTGGAGCAACTGCACCAGGCCAAGGAAGCGTACAAAGCCCAGGCCGACCGCCACCGCCAGGTGGGGCCGGAACTCGCGTCGGTGACCTGGTTTGGCTCTCCACTCGCCACCTCCACCCCTCTCGACCTTCGCGGAAGTTGGACGCCCGCTTCACCGGCCCGTTCCCTATCGTAGACCAAATCTCTCCTGTGGCATTCCGTCTCCGGTTACCCGCAACCCTGAAGGTTCACCCGGTCTTCCACAGGTCCCTTTTGAGTCCGGTGGCCCCACCCGACGAGTTCCACCAGAACCGTCCCCGACCGCAGCCAGTGTTGGTTCGGGAGAGCCTGAGTACGAGGTGGAACGCATCCTGGACTCCCGATACCGCAGGGGAAAGCTGCAGTATCTCATTGACTGGAAGGGGTACGGACCGGAGGACCGTTCCTGGGAACCAGCCGCCAATGTCCATGCACCTGCCTGCCTCCGAGAGTTCCATGCGACGTATCCCGGCAAGCCGGGTCCGGACCCTCGGTTGAGGGGGGGGCCTGGGAGGGGGATGGTGTGATGGCCTGGGATTCCGATTCGGAGGATGAAACAGAGGAATCCCGGCCTGCACAGGAGTCCCCGCCTCCAGGGCCGGCTGAACTGGGGCAAGGCCTTGATGCTGAAGAGCCTGCACCTGGGGCAGTGCATCAGGAGCTGGCCCCAGGTGAAGCCCTTCGGGCCCCAGAGGGGCTTGATGACTCAGTGGCCACAGGTGAGCCTCCTCCAGGGCCCAGTAACCCTTCGGCCTCTCCTGATCTGCAGAGGCTTAGGGCAGAGAGGCGAAGGGAACTGGTTGCCCCCAGGAGGAGTGCTCGCCTTAAGGCCAGAGGAGGCGGGGCTCCTGGGGACCGGGACCGCTCCTGGCCTTAGAAGAGGATAAAAGCCCAGTCAGCCCGGCCCCAGGTTGCGGGAGCAATGTCGTTGTTGGCTTCGGACCTTCCTGTGTTCCTGATCCCTGCTCGGCTTCCTGTTCCTGACTATCCGGTACTCCTGCTCCCTGCTCGGCCTCCTGTTCCCGACCATCCGGTGTTCCTGTTCCCTGCACAGCCTCCTGTTCCAGCATTCCTGTTCCCCGCCCGGCTCTCTGCCTCGGACCTTGCCCCTCTTCGTGTGGACTCTGCTACACCCAAGGTACCTTACCCCCGGGACCAGCACACCTGCAATACGTGAAGCAGCAACCACCAGTTGCTTCATATGTTCTGTAATGTTTTGCTGAGGCCTACACTGACTCAAGAGATTGAACCCTGATTTATGCCTATGAATCCCATGAATCTTTGTTTTACTTGTTGGTATATATTTTTATATGGGTTTTATATTATTTTATTGGTTTCAGGTTGCATTTCTGTTTAAATGGATATTGTTTCTGTAGCATACATAATGTACACTGCTTAAGAGATTTTTTGTTTAGCTATTAAGCGGTTCAGAAACACTTTTAAATAAAACAGACAAACAAACAAATATTAATATTCATAAATCCTCTCTAGCCTTTTGTATAGTGTGACACTAGATGAATGATGCTTGACCTGTGGCTATTCCAGGCCACTGAAATGTGTGTCATACTCTATTTTACTTGCCTGTATGAGGGCTAAAATAAGCAGGTATTTGTTTTTCCAGCTTTGAATGTGAGTAGAGAAAGTGTGCGAGGAGAAAGAAAGAAAGAAAGAAAGAAAGAAAGAAAGAAAGAAAGAGTGTTTGAGGTTTGGAGTTAGACACCAAGTGTTGGTAAGAAGCTTTGTGGCTGGCCAAATCTGCTTTTAGGGCAACGTGGCGTTCAAACTTTCTGCCTTGATTGTCTGCCAAGTGTCTGTGGAGGAACCCCTGTGCTTGTTCTTTGCCCCACCGTTTTCTGATGTGAGGTTTGTTGGTAAGAAAAGTGATGGTGGAACCTGGGGTTTGGAACAATCTCCCTAGTCTGATGCACCCGGCTCCCTCCTTTGCTTCCTAAACAAACAGTAAAGACCATTCTTTTTTATTGGGCTTATAACCATTATTCTGGTCTCCCCACCCCCATCGCTTTCTCGTACTTTGCGTCATTCATGCTATCTGCTTTGATGATTATTAATGTTATTTAAATTTGAACCATTCATATACCGCTTGGCACTATGGCCTCCAAGTGGTGTGCAGGAGGGTTTAAAAGATCCTCCCCAAATACCCTTAACTATAACATCAGAAAATGTGCTTTAAATGTCTCCTGAAATAAAAAATGGCATTCACCAGGGACTAGAACAGGGGTAGGCAACCTAAGGCCCGTAGGCCAGATGCGGCCCATTCGCCTTTTCAATCCGGCCTGCGGACAGTCCAGGAATCGGCGTGTTTTTACATGAGTAGAATGCGTGCTTTTATTTAAAATGCATCTCTGGGTTATTTGTGGGGCATAGGAATTTGTTCATATTTTTTTTCAAAATATAGTCTGGCCCACCACATGGTCTGAGGGATGGTGGACTGGCCCACGGCTGAAAAAGGTTGCTGACCGAAGGTTGCTCACTAGAAGTTTAACAGGGATCCAGCTGAGTCTACAACACTGAAAACACAGCTCTGGTAGATATGAGCTGGACACTGAGCCATGGGGGATCACTGACCATGATCTCCCCCCAATACCTTGGTGCAGTGATATAAGGAACCAGGCAGTCCTTAAGTATCCAAGGCTGGATCTACAGTGGTCTGCAAAATGCTTTTAAAAACCCTGTGATATAGCTCTCTTTTTTTATATAAATGATATTTATTAAAGATACATGAAAGTACAGAATAAAGAAAAAGTATAAAGTTTTAAGATATAACAAAAACAGTAAAAAATAAGAAAAAAAAAACATACAAAATAAAACAGTTAAAAACACAATAATGTTCCATAACCTATCTTCCTTACTCTTATTTCCCCGGACCTCCTCATACCTCCCTTCTTTGTATTCCAATTCAATTTGTTGGTTCAGCAAATCCTTACCATTAATCTTTTACCCAATTGTTAACCTTTTTTTCCATGTCTCTTAAAGCATTACAGCTAAAAACCTCTTAGTTTCTATCCAACATCCTTCTAAAGTTCCTTAATTTTGCAATATTTCTGTAAATAGTCCTTAAATTTCTTCCAGTCTTCTTTCACCGACTCTTCTCCCTGGTCTCGGATTCTGCCAGTCATTTCCGCCAGTTCCATGTAGTCAATCACCTTCATCTGCCATTCTTCCAAAGTGGGTAGATCTTGTGTCTTCCAATACTTTGCGATAAGTATTCTTGCTGCTGTTGTAGCATACATGAAAAAGGTTCTGTCCTTCTTTGGCACCAGTTGGCCGACAATGCCCAAGAGAAAGGCCTCTGGTTTCTTCAGAAAGGTATATTTAAATACCTTTTTCAGTTCATTATATATCATTTCCCAGAAAGCCTTAATCTTTGGGCACGTCCACCAAAGGTGAAAGAATGTACCTTCAGTTTCTTTACATTTCCAACATTTATTATCGGGCAAATGATAAATTTTTGCAAGCTTGACTGGGGTCATGTACCACCTGTATATCATTTTCATAATATTCTCTCTTAAGGCATTACATGCCGTAAACTTCATACCTGTGGTCCATAACTGTTCCCAGTCAGCAAACATAATATTATGGCCAACATCTTGTGCCCATTTAATCATAGCAGATTTCACCGTTTCATCCTGAGTATTCCATTTCAACAGCAAGTTATACATTCTTGACAAATTTTTAGTTTTGGGTTCTAACAATTCTGTTTCTAATTTTGACTTTTCCTCTTGGAAGCCTATTTTCTTATCCAAATTATATGCCTCCATTATCTGATAGTAGTGGAGCCAATCTCTCACTTTATTTTTAATTTTTCAAAACTCTGCAATCTCAATTTATCTCCTTCTTGCTCCAAAATTTCCCAATATGTCGGCCATTTGGCCTCCATATTGAGCCTTTTCAGAGCTTTTGCTTCCATTGGTGACAGCCACCTTGGGGTTTTATTTTCCAATAAGTCTTTGTATCTTATCCAGACATTAAACAATGCTTTCCTAACAATATGATTTTTGAATGCTTTGTGTGCTTTGACCTTATCATACCATAAATATGCATGCCATCCAAATACATTGTTAAAACCTTCTAAATCCAAAATGTCTGTGTTTTCAAGAAGTAGCCATTCTTTCAGCCAGCAAAAAGCTGCTGATTCATAATAAAGTTTAAGGTCTGGCAGGGCAAATCCACCTCTTTCCTTGGCGTCAGTTAATATCTTAAATTTTATTCTGGGCTTCTTGCCCTGCCAGACAAATCTAGAAATATCTCTCTGCCACTTCTTGAAACAGTCCATCTTATCTACAATTTGTAATGTCTGAAACAAAAACAACATTCTAGGCAATACATTCATCTTTATCACAGCAATACGGCCCAGCAACGAGAGTTTCAAATTTGACCAAATTTCTAAATCTTTTTCACTTCCGTCCAACATTTTTCGTAATTATCTTTAAATAAGTTCCCATTTTTGGCTGTCATATTAATCCCCAAGTATTTCACTTTCTTTACCACATTCAATCCTGTCTCATTCTGAAACCTCTCTCTTTCAATCGGTGTTTTCTCTAAAACCTTAGTTTTTAACTTGTTCAATTTAAAACCTGCCACCTGACCAAATTCCTGAATTAATTCTAAAACTCTTTTAGTACTAGATTCTGGCTCCTGTAACGTCAATACTAGGTCATCTGCAAATGCTCTCAATTTGTACTGTTTAGCTCCGACCTGTATGCCCTTAACCAACCGGTCCTTTCTAATCATATTTAGCAAAACCTCCAGGACCGATATAAAAAGCAGTGGGAAATTGGGCACCCCTGTCGTGTCCCTTTTTCTATCTTAAATTCTTCCGTAACCACATTATTTACAATTAATTTAGCCTTTTGTTCAGAGTATATTGCACCTATACCATTTTCAAAACCTTGGCCTACCCCCATCCCATGCAGATTCTTCTTCATAAAACTCCAAGAGATATTATCAAAAGCTTTCTCCGCGTCAACAAATATCCATACTGCTTTGGTGTTTATATTCACTTCTAATTTTTCCAAAATATCAATTATATTCCTCAAATTATCAGACAGGTGTCTTCCCAGGAGAAAGCCCGCTTGGTCTTTATGAATCTCTTTCATCAATATTTTTTTCAATCTCTTGGCCAAAATGTCTGCAAAAATTTTGTAATCCACATTAAGTAACGATATAGGGCGATAGTTCTTAAGCTGAGTCTTTTCAGTCTCTGTTTTCGGTATAAGTGTGATATACGCCTCTTTCCACGATTCTGGTGCCCTTTTCCCCTCCAATATTTCATTGCAGACTTCCTTCAAAGGTTGCAGTAACCACTCTTTCAAAGATCTATAGTATCTGGAAGTCAGCCCATCCGGTCCTGGAGATTTGCCCAATTGCATATTTTGTATGGCACCTTCTACTTCCTGTTCAGATATTTTATAGTTCAGCATTAATTTACTTTCTTGAGAGATTTTTTTGTAGGCCATTTGTCTTCAAAAATTGGTCTATGTCCATTTCCTTCTGTGGCCCTTGTGTGTATAATTGTTTAAAGTACTTCTGGAAGCAATTTCTAATCTCATTTGGATTATGTATACTCTTTCCTTCCACTTCTAAATTTATAGCCTGTGATATAGCTCTCAATGCAAATTCCTATTGTCGACGGATCGCTTCTCTACAACACCCACTAGTGTCATATTTGTATAACGCATTTTAATGTTATAACCAGTCAGTGTTGATTAGTCCTTGTAAATTGATACAAGAATCTCGAACCTGACCTGGTAGCACATGGGCAGTCAAAGCAAGCTTATATGCACTAGAGTTATGTGCTGGTCATTGCTATACTTGAGTGTGTTTATTAATAATAATAATTGCTATAGTTTATCATGAATTGATTAAGTTTGATTTTTGAAACAAAATATGTTGCTTTATGGTGAGTTGTTGTTTTTTTTTAACTGCTATAAAATGCTTGGGGGATTTTGGCCAAATAGCAGCAAAGAAATACTGTATTTTTTGCTCTATAACTCACTTTTTCCCTCCTAAAAAGTAAGGTGAAATGTGTGTGCGTCTTATGGAGTGAATGCAGGCTGTGCAGCTATCCCAGAAGCCAGAACAGCAAGAGGTATCGCTGCTTTCGCTGCTCTCTTGTTGTTCTCGCTTCTGATATTCAGAATATTTTTTTTCTTGTTTTCCTCCTCCAAAAACTAGGTGCGTCTTATGGTCTGGTGCATCTTATAGAGCGACAAATACGGTAAATGACTGATTGCATGGTCGTGGGCAGAAAAACACTGAAGCCAAGTGAAGTGGTGCAGGTCAAACCACTCTTAGGTGCTCAGAGTAGTAAAGAAGATGTTCCAAGAGCGGTAGACTCGTAATCTGGGGAACCGGGTTCGTGTCTCGGCTCCTCCACATGCAGCTGCTGGGTGACCTTGGGCCAGTCACACTTCTTTGAAGTCTCTCAGCCCCACTCACCTCACAGAGTGTTTGTTGTGGGGGAGGAAGGGAAAGGAGAATGTTAGCCGCTTTGAGACAACTTCGGGTAGTGATAAAGCGGGATATCAAATCCAAACTCTTCTTCTTCTTCTTCTTCTGTCCTAAATTTCTGCCCTTGGCATTCCTAGATGGGAAGTATACAAATACAAGCTGGACGTGTAGCAAAATGTCTTACAAGAGCACTCCTGTTCAGGGAATTCAGTCGGTCAGGACCTCCTCCACTCCATTCCCCTCCTGTTTTTTCTCTCCTCTCTCCCAACTGGCGCTCAATATTCCATGGCCGCTGAGCTTGTTCAGTGCGGAGTTTTTGTCCCTTAGGGGCAAAATGCAGCTCTTCAGACCTCTCCAACTGGTCTTTAGAATCTCTCTGTGCCATGCCCATGTGACCCAACTTTTTGGCCCTGTTCCACCACTGTATCGAGAACTTTTGCCAGGCTGGAAAGTGTCCTTAAACTGTGAAAAGGCCTTTTACTTACTTGCCTGGATAGAGGGGTGTGTGTGTGTGTTTAAACCTTCGAATTTCACAAAGATTCAAGTGTAGCCTAGTATACAAAGTGAACTGTTCTTATTTGTTGCTGCACTCACTTTTGCTTCTGGCATTCTGCCCCTGGAAGGCTGCCCATAAGGGAATGTCAGGCTTGGGCTTTAAAAGGTCCCCCCCTTTTTTTTTACTTATGCAAATCCCAGAGATCCCCTGCACATTCTGACAATTCCCTGTTGCTCCTCTTTGGCCCTGTTTTGGCTCGATTCCCATCAGCTCTCATCACCTAAGGGGGTGATTTTGTGGAATGAGCATCCTTCCTTTAGTGGGGAAGAGAAAAGAAAAGATCAGGTACATTATCTGCCATGTAGAGATGAGAGAGGTTTATGTATGATATTACAACCAAATTATTATACTGCATAGAGGTTTTGAAAATTCATTATCTTTTTGCACAGAAACACATAACACACACTACAGAAATGTGTCTGTAAAGCTGCTAAGAAACTTTGAACCAAGATGATGAGGGAGACTGCTGTTCTTGTTAGGGCAATCAATGCATATATAATTATAGCCCTTTTAAATGTATTTTATTTCTGTAGGTACATCTCTGCCTCCATCTCTGTCTTGTGATGACCTGTGGTGGATTCAATAAAATGTCTGGCTGACTAGCCATAGATATGGCATTCTATACACCGGAGGCTGCCAATGTGCTGCCCCTGAGCAAAAAGGTCCCTTGAGATCTCCCCCTGGTGCCTAAAAAATCCTCTGAGCCCTCGTCCACTCACTGCCCCCTTCGTCATGAGGTGGTGAGGGTGGTTACTGTTTGCTCCCTAGAAAAGTACATAGAGAAGGAGGTTGGAAGAGTGACTCTCACTCTCTCTTTCAGCTTGATGTGTTTTTCAGGGTTCACACTGATTTGACTACGGTAGATCTGCCTTCTACCCAGATACCTTGAGTAGGTCAACTGTGTGTGCATACATGTTTTATCTCTGATGGCAGATTGATTACTAATGTATGAAACCAGGAGACACTGACTAGCTGTGTCTGACTTGAGGCCTAGTCTACAAAACGAGACCAGAGCAGGCACTCCGGCTTGTCCCCATGACTGAGGGCACTTAGCACGCCATGCTAAGTGCTGACACATCATGCGCACTTTGCGCAGCTTACGTGTGTGATGCAAGCACATTGTGCGGCACATGCAAGTGATGTGAGCATGTTGAGCTTTGTGCGTGCACTGTGGGGACACATCCGTGTGGAATATTGAGGGAGCTGGGCTCCCTCTTTGAAATTTTCAGGGGGGACTCGCCGTCCCCGCCCCCCCCCCAGATTGCGCCCCTGGCCCAGAGAGAGAGGACGAGCAGGCTAGTGGATCCTTCCTAAACTGTGGTGCCATATTTCAAAAAGTGAAAATCCAGACAGAAAAGTTGTTGAACTACCGTTTTGAAGCCTCCTAGAATCCAACCAGATTTTCATTTTATGAGCCAATCGCACACACACACACACACACACACACGCGCACACACACACACACACACACACTGCATTTGTGAATTGCCCAGCTAGGATTGCCTGGGCCAACACTACAAATTTTAGCTTCATAGTTAAGATAAATCTCTTCGGCATCCCAGCTGACAAGGCAACTTGACTGTACATCAGCCCCAGTTTCTTGGCTGCTGACCTAACAGCCTTGTGAGGTTGCTAGGGAACAAAATGCTCCTGCTGGGTTAAAAGGAGAAGGAGAAGATGCAAGTTTCCTTTCGCCTGGCATTACTTTCCTGGGACTCAAATGCAAAAAGAACCAGGGAAGAGCCAAACGAAGGGCACTATGAACAGTGCCCCTATGGTGGTAGTCTGGCTTTGCAGAGGGATCGCCTTGACTGGCTTTAGCTAATTACATGTCAAGGGGAAAGGACGGGGCATGCAGAGATCAAACCCCAATGTGTGGTTATCTTTATTTATGTGCCGCCTTCCTTTGGCTTTTACATGTTTGTTCCCACCCCACCCCCCACCCCTCGTCTTGAGATTATCTGGACTGGTAATAGGATTATTAATCCATTTTGCTGGGAGTGTTTGCATACATCCAATGAGGCACGATGTGTAATGGGGGTGAGCTTAACGCGGGAGCTGCTAAATCTACTTTGAGTAGCAAAGTGGATGTGGTATTAATGGCTCCAGCTAAACCCATCCCTATTAGAGGTGGAAATATCAAATAATGAACTTGCTGACAATCCTCTCTTGTATTGCTCCTCAGCTAGCAGCTCATAGTGCCAATGTACTGGGATTAACTAAGGTCTTATAGGATCGCCATTGTGATTTTTATGGGAGCCTCATAGCAGCAGATTCTTTTGAACCGAAAACTTTTGAGCCTGGCAATTATATCACTGTCCTCTCTATGTAAAGGTCCATTTCCTCCTTGCACAGAGACAAACCCAGGGTTGCTGCTGCTGTACATTCTTGAGGAAGTCCAGTTCACACAACCAGGTAGGGAGGCTATTGAATACATGGGGCGGGAATTATTTAATTTCTCCACCCATAGTCTCTAGGTTCGGGGCCTGCGTGGTGCCACTTTCTGCCTTTCACACATGCCGACATGTGAATGGGGGTGCAGTGAGATGCAGCTGCAATCACAGTTTCCTACTTGGTGTACCTATGATTGCACACGTTTGCTGCAATCAAGCTCACTTTAAATTTTTAGGTGCACACAGAGCACATATCCCAAAAATAGGAAATGTCATCGATATAATTCTATATTCTTCAAACCAGTGTACAACTGAAGTCTCTGTAGAATGTGGGTTGAACAAATGAGATGTTTGTATTATACAGGATTTGTACCAGGACTCCAGTGTACAATTTTCTGTGACGCTGTTCATGTGCTCCAAACACTGTCCACAAATCGGCACTTCTTACTTTTACTGTAAAGCAGGAGTTGAGGGATCTTTGATCTTCTAGTTGCGCTACAGCACCTATCATTGGTAATGCTGCCTTGGGCAGATGAGAGTTCGAGTCCAGCAACATCTGGAGGGCCTGAGTTTCCCCACTCTGGTTACACAGAGGTGCTTGCTGCCTCTGATCCTTGAGATAGCTAGCAGCCATTGATAGCGTTATTCTCCGTGAATTTGTCTAATTCCCTTTTGAAGCCATACAGGCTCTTGGCCATCGCTACATTTCCTTTTGTTGGTCCTGAACTTTCTACATTCAGCTTCATTGTTCTAGTATTTTAGGAAGGGAAGAAAAATATGTCCCTATCTGTTTTCTGCAAACCATGCACCACTATCATGTCTCTCTGCACTTCCTTCCCCCAAACTATATAGCCCCAAATGTTGTAGCCTTTCCTCATAGAGCAGTAGTGACTCCAGCCTGGCTGCCCCTTTCTGCCCCATTTTTCAGCTCTACAGTAACCTTTTAGAGGTGTGGTGACCATAACTAGGAGGCAGCAGCAAGCCAGGACTGATGAGCAACTCAAAGCCAGAGGGTGAGGTCAGGAGGCAAGTCCAAGGTGGAAGGGTCATAGCTCAGTGGTAGATCATCTGCCTTGCATGCAAAAGGTCAAAGGTTAAATCCCTGGCATCTCAATATAAGACCCTGGCCTGAAATCCTGGAGAACCACAGTCCATTACTGCAGACAACCCTGAGCTAGTTGGACCCAGTAATCTGACTCGGTATAAGGCAACTTTCCATGCTCCAAAAATTAATATCAGGACCAAAGACTAAAAAAGCAGAAAGGAAAATGCTGGAATTTCAGAAACACCTTGTTGCTTGAGGAAGTCCTTTATAGTACTGTTCCCGGTCCAATGGATAGAGTCAGTCTAGCAACAGAATATTCTTCACTAAGAAGCTTGTAACCTGCAGTTCAATAGTTCACCAAATGAGGTGGCTGCACACAGATTCCAAAAGCTAATAATGGCTAGCAAGACTAGTGTTGCATGCACAGCATGCATTTGAAGCACATTATTCCCTTGCAAAGAATAATTGGAACTGTAGTCCGCCCCTCTCACAGAACTACGTACAACTCCCAGCACCCTTAATAAAAAACAGTTCCCAGAAGGGGCAGTCCATCCTGTTTTGCCTCCTGAGGCAAAATGGGAAGGTGTTCTGCTCCTGCAGCAGCCTCACTTACCAGGGTCACATAATGGTTGCAGGTTCCGGTGGAAAAGTAAGGAGAAGCAGCAAGATGTTGCACGAGTTTTGCATGATCTCGCCAGAAGCCACTGCTTCTCCTTGCTTCTCTAGTAGCAGTGGCAGGGGTGAGCAGGGCATCTGTGGGGGAGCTGCCCTTCGGCATTCCGCTGCCTGAGGCAGCTGCCTCAGCCCACCTCCTTGTGGGTGAGCCAGCCCTGGTTCCCAGGATACTTTGCTGGAAGTCCTGTTCTTTAAATGCATTATGTGTATGCAGCCATGAGTAAGATTTCAACCAGAGTAGCTAACACTTAGCTACATGGACCCGTGCTCTTTCATATAAAGCAGCTTCACATGTCTCTAATTTGCAAGATCCAACACACTGTACAGTGGTACCTTGGGTTACAGACGCTTCGGGTTACGCGTTTCCAGGTTGCGGACCGCGGGAAACCCGGAAGTACCGGAAAGGGTTACTTCCGGGTTTTGCAGCTTGCGCATGCACAGAAGCGCTAAATCGTGTCATGCATGTGCGCAGACACGGCGCTGCAGGTTATGAATACTGCGGGTTGCGGACGTGCCTCTGTCACTCATTACGTCCACAACCCGAGGTTCCATTGTACATTTCTCTTATATTTTTGTTGTTTATATATGTCCTCTGGATTTCTGGACTGGACAGCTTTCTGATAGTTCATAATATTTATCTCAGGGCTAGTCGCACATCCTGTAATCTCTGCCAGTTTCTCTGAGCATTATTTGGCACATGCTTTTGAACACAGCACCCCAGTTTTCTTTCAATTAACGATGCTTGGTGGCTGTTGTACCTTTCCCAGAGATGCAACTTAGTTGCTGCTCTTCTTTCTTTCCTTTCCTTTCCTTTCCTTTCCTTTCCTTTCCTTTCCTTTCTGCTGCCCTTCTTTCTGACCTCTCTTGGCCTCTTCATATTCATTTTCTTCTGCTCTCCACTGCTCTAAAACCCCTCCCAGCTTATTATCATCTGCCAAATTCATTATCGTGTTGTTTACTCCCTCTACCAGGTCATTAATGAAGGTATTAGTGAAGAGCAGGCCTAACCCAGTTCCCCACAACACCCCATAAACACCTCTCCCCCTGTTTCTAATTACATTTTGTTTATGGCCCTTCAGATGGTTAGTTCTCAATCCACATGGTGCTCCTCAAATGATTGGAATTAATTTTTCCAGGAAGGTTTTGCAGGACACAGTTGTGAGCAGTTAAGTTGCTGATTCCTGTTCTACATCTAATTTAAGCTGCCTTCCACCCCCCCTCACCCCCCCTCACCCCCCTTTCTTGTGACTTGCCAGCTGTTTACTTCCTGGAGACACAATATAGCAGACGCTGCTTTGTACTAGACAGTGGTTCAATGCCAGTGTTTGAAAAACAACAACATCACAAACATATACGCTTCAAGTACAAGCCCAAACCCAGAAATGATGAAGCGAATAGAGTCCTGAACTGCCTTGTTTCTGTACCTTGAGCTCTAGCCCAGTGTTGGTTGGTCTATCAGGACAAGTGGAGCACTGCCCCAATAACTTCAGTCTGCTTTCAGCCAGCACACCACCTGTCCACCTTCTTACTTACTGCCCATCCAGGGGGTGGCATGGCCTGCCAGCTTCCTTCTCTTGAAGTGTCAGCGTTGCACTTGTAGAACTCAGCAGGGAAGAGAAAGAGGACCAAGCTAGTATCAGTTGGCTCAGCTTATCATTGGGCCGCATCTGTCATTGGTTCTGGCTTCACCTGCTGCTGCTCTGCCTTCTTTAAGCCCTTCCAGTCTCAATGGGCAGAAGTCACCACTGTTCCAGCTTAGCACCATGAACAAATATATACAAGAACAGGAGAGCAGTCCTGCTGTATCAGGCCGAAAGCCCATTTAGTCCAACATGTTGTTGGCACAAGTGCCAACCAGATACCTGTAAAGTAAAGGTAAAGGGACCCCTGACCATTAGGTCCAGTCGTGGCCGACTCTGGGGTTGCGGCGCTCATCTCGCTTTATTGGCCGAGGGAGCCGGCATACAGCTTCCGGGTCATGTGGCCAGCATGACTAAGCCGCTTCTGGTGAACCAGAGCAGCGCACAGAAACACCGTTTACCTTTCCGCTGGAGTGGTACCTATTTATCTACTTGCACTTAGGGGTGCTTTCGAACTGCTAGGTTGGCAGGAGCAGGGACCGAGCAACGGGAGCTCACCCCGTTGTGGGGATTCGAACCGTGACCTTCTGATCACCACATGCCACCCGTGTCCCATTAGATACCTGTAGGAAGCCCCAAAGCAGGACATGAGCACAACAGTACTCTCCCCACCTGCGGTTCCCAGCAATGGGTATTTAGGAAAATGACAGCACAGGAAGAACATAGCCATTGTGACTTGTAGCTGTTGATAGCCTTATCTTCCAATAATCTGTCTAATTCCCTTTTAAAGTAGGCCAAGTTCATGGTCATCACTATACCTTGTGGGAGTGAATATGGAGGGCCAAGGTCCCTTCAGGACTCCCCAAAGTTTATGGGCATTGCCATTCAAATGGTGTGTGTGCACCGTGTCTTGTGATAGATTGTGGGACTGGGCATGCCTGCCCTCCCCAATGCGTTATTCAAGTTGATAGAGAGACACTCTTGTACTATAGCTCAATAAAAACAGGGCAGCTCCCTCTCCCTGGAACATTTATGGTACAAAAGTTCAGGGCCGTCTTAAATATATCGGGTGCTGTGGTGCAAAGATCCCTCCAGTCCCGCCACCCCCCCCCGTTTCCCAGAGTTGCCAAACTTGTTACGGTGCTGCTGGCAGCTTTGCAGGGCTGGAGGAGGCGGACAGCAGCTGGAGGGTGGCTGCTCCGCTGGAGAAGAGGTGGAGGCTCCGGGCGCAGCGCTGCTTCAGTGAGGCAGGCGAGGGTGGCGAGCTGATGCCAGGAGATGCTGCGCCCAGCCTCTGCATCTTCCCTGGCACCTGTGCCGCGGTGGTCACGGCAGGCGGAGACACTGGGCACGGTGCTGCTTTGGTGCGGCATGGCGGAGGTGGGTGAGGGCAGCGAGCTGATGCCGGGAGGTGCCATGTCCAGCCTCTGTCTCTTCCCTGGTGCCCTTCAGAACTTGGCGCCCCGGCGCCCCGTGCCACTTGCCTCTATGGGCAAGGCACCCCTGCAAAAGTTACAGGATTTCAGCAGGAAGGTATGGGACACAGAGTGATTGGAAACAAAGCAATATGCCCACTCTAAAACTTTTGCACACACACACACACTGTGGGGAAACCCAGGCAGTGTGGGGAAGTATATAGAAGGGTGGTGGTTTGAGGGCCCCTTTACGTGTCCTTTTTATTGTGAAATATAAAAATAAATTTAAAAAATGTCCAGTAGCACCTTAGAGACCACTAAGTTTGTTCTTGGTATAAGCTTTTGTGTGCATTTTATTGTGAATTTATGATTATTTGTGCTCATGATACTATTGAGGCAGTTACATGCACTCTCACTTTCAATACTGTTTGTGCCTACAAAGGTTTTGGGGTGGTCACACTGTTTCATTTCCAACCAGTGCGCATCCTGTAACTTTTTATACCACAAATTTTCTGTTTTACTCCCCCCCCCCATCTTGTTGTGCTGTGGCTCCTCTGGACAAGCAGTAATGTGGTAGCACTGAGAAAAGACCACAGAACAAAGTAAACAAAACAAATCCACATCTAATGCACTATTATTGTGTCAAGAACATGTCGCAGAATACTCCTGCAATATAACACTAGTCTGGAGGGGTCCTAACTATTTCTCCTCCTGCTGTGGTTCTGACAAAAACTGCCTCTTCGAAGCTTCTGCTTTCATTTTGAGGGAGGTTACTATTGGTGCCACTAGAGACCTCTGTCAAAATGTAAGTGGCCGTTTTCGGAGAGGTTATTTTTGTTAGGATTGTGGCCATGAGGTTTCCCCGGTTTCCCCACAGCTGCTGTCTACATAACAAAAGCAATGCCCATTAATCACACTCATGCAATTAACCTTAAATCCATTTTGGCTGTTCCATGAGCCTTGGTTGCAATTTGAGGGGAAGAATATTAGCCTCAGCTCTTTTGTGAAGATTGCTGAGATTGTATATATATGTATGTGTGTGTGTAGTGCTTTGAACGGGCTAAATAAAGCACTATAGGCTGTTTGTGCAATGTCAGAGAGTATGATATTGCCCCAACAAAAATAGGAACAGCCTCATAACATACCAATTATCAGAACATGGATGACTCCTGCACATTCTGCTCTCATGTTGCTGAAGGCCTTTACCATGCATGCAACATTCCTTTCCTCTGCAATCAGCTGTCTTCCACAGGCTTAAATGCCATGAGGGGATTGGGTCTTTGATTAAAGAGATATAGGGTGGGGTGATTAAAGAGGGACGCGGGTGGCGCTGTGGGTTAAACCACAGAGCCTAAGACTTGCCGATCAGAAGGTTGGCGGTTCGAATCCCCGCGACGGG